GAGTTTGTCGATATTGCAAGATCTAGATGGAAATGTTTGGTTTGGGGATTATGGTTAGGGTTTCCAAAGGTTTGGGATATAGAGAGTTGGGGGTGAAGGGGACATCACCAGCATTGAAAGAGAAAATATTTAAATTGATGAAATGGGGAAGGGGATGAACTAGGAAAATGGAAGGGGAAGAGATGTCGAAAGAGATGAAGGAGAAATGATGGCCCCAAGGATGAGAAAGAAAGAGAAAGAGGGGACGAGTGAAGAAAAACAGGAGAATAAGGAAGAAGAAGGTTAATTTTGAAAATGACTTTAATTAATTAATAATAAATAGTTCTTTATTTATTTGTTAAGATTAAAAATGTCAAATAGACAAAAAAAAAATGTGACTTCATCTCATCAATTTACTTGTGTTTTCTTTTCCATATTAGTTTTTTTTTTTCCCCAAAAAAAGTATGATTTTTTGGTAACTTAACAATTAACATACTACTTGTCAATTTTGTCGACGGAGGGTCAAATTGGTACCAAAAATGAAAGTTTAAGAAAAATTTTGGTACTTTTTAAAGTTTAAGGATAAATTTAGTACAAATCTAAAAGTTGAGAGACTAAATTGGTATTTTAACCAAAATGTAAATTTAGCCTATTTAAGGCGAGCTTTCACTCATTTGCAGAACACTTTCTGTCTGAGGTTTCTGTTTTCCATTACGGTCACTTCTAACACCTCCCGGAAAGGTAAGTCCACCCTGGTTGACTCATTTTTAAGTCTCTTAGTCTGATAGAAACTATACAAAGTCTGGTAGAAATTATACAGTCAGTACTCTTTTGATCAATTGATGCTTATGATCTGTTTCTTTTGTTTTTTTCTTTGTTTCTTGATTTAGTTTGCGCTATTACTGGAAATTAATGCTTGCAGAGTTCAGTTAACTCGGTTAATTCAGTTAATGAGCTAACTGGATTTTTTTTTTTTTTTTTTTTGTTTGCAGAAATTGTAAGGAGATGTCAACGGCTCATGATAGGGAAGAATATAAATCTCAGCAGCCTAGAGGCAGAAATGGAGTGGGAAGTTCTCGCAAGAAAAACCTGGAAATTTCCGAGGGAGATGTGCCTAAACAAAAGGAACCGAAACGAGGGCGGCCTTGCTCAGAATTATCAGAACAGCAGAAAAAAGAAAAGCACAATACTGGGTGTCGAGCATATAGGAAGAAAAAAAAGGTAGGAAATCTCTTCTAACTCTCCTTCCATCCAAAAATTTGTGAGTCAATTCATTTAATCTTTAACTTTCATTTTCTGAAATGAAGGCTGAGCTTTATGAGCTCCAAGACTTTAAAAATGAGTTCCAAGAAGAATTCGGAAGTTTGCGTCCTAAAATTTTAAAGGTGTGATTGCTTACTCCCTCCATTTATTAGCTTTTTTTGTTGGCAGAACATAGATATTATATTAAGATGAAAATAAAAGGATTATATTTATAGTTCTAGCAGTTTGGCCACCAAGGAAACATAAACATAGCAGACAAAGTCAACACTAAACATACTATATAGTCCAAATGCACAAAACCTAAGGCTGTTTTCAAGCCCTGCAAAACCATAATAAGAGGACGGGTATACTTCTGCAAAGGAAAGCGGTGTGTACATCCTCTATTTGGGGAGCCTTGACAAAGCTGAGCGGTGGCACCATCTAAGACTTTTGCTGCAACTTGAATTGGCAAAGCAAAACAAGTGTTGTACCTCCATGTCCTTTAGACAGTATCAAGTTTAGATGGAATCAAAAAAAGGAAAGCAAGTTTTCTAAGTACAGAACAAGGATGATGGTAGCAGAACACAGAAAACCCTCCTAAGTGTGGTAAGCTTGGAGATGAAGCAAAGTCCTCAGAGATAGTTTAAGAATCCATGGAAAGATTACAATGTTGCTGCCATGCACCTTTACCATCTCCATTTGGACATACACCTCCAAGCTACCACCAGCTAGCACACTACCAACACTCGAATCATCATTAATTGTCACCAGGAACACCAAACGTGCTTCTTAAAATATAGGTTGTATCAGTGAATATGTATGTAGGAGATGAAAATCTAGTTATAAGTTCCACCTTAGGAGTATGAAAACTACCACCAAACCAACTTCTGGACCCTAATACCTACATAAACTGCAAATCCTTTAAGCACTGCCATCTGGTCCAACAGCTAGAACGAGTTGAATTCCAAACCTTGACACCATGGAGATCTCCCACATCAAAACACCACCTACCTTTGGAGCCTTGATGTGCTGCAGACCTTCCCTATGCTTGGGTTGAGGGGAATGGAGGGGAGGGAAATTATATCCTTCCAGTCCCCTCCATTTGCTTCCCCTCCCTTCCCCTCATTTGGATAAGTAACTAAATTAAAAGAAAAAATAAAGTAAAAGAAAATTTTCCCCTCCCCTTCAATCTTTTTGATAACCAAATAGAAAAACTTTTTCCCCTCCCCTCCCCCCCAATCTTTTTGATAACCAAATAGAAAAACTTCCCCCCTTCCCCTCCATTCCTCTCAACCCAAACATACCATAAAAGTTTAGGTGTAGAAAGAACAAAATAGAAATACCCATCCCACCATTATAGGAAGTTTAATGCATGCTTATTCTGATTGCTCTGTATTCCTTTACCAGTCCACATACTAGGAGAAAAAATTTACCATCCCTCAAGACCATAATCAGCTTCCACCCCCAAACATCTAAGACCATCAACAACACCTAGACCTACCATATCTACCATCTTTTTAGTATTTGTTGATGGAAAGCTAAATATGAAATAAAACCCAATTACAACCAGCACCAAGGCACCAAACTCTTCAATATAGCAGCCAACTTCATGATCAAACCCAACATTTAACTGAGTGAAACCAAAATCAAAAACAACAAGAGTCCCATATTTAGCTAACTTTGCACCACACTGAGCACTAATATAATCCAATAAAAATGCCCAAAAAACTATCAAATGGGTCCAAGTAATTGAGATAATTAACAATATATCCGAGATAAACCATATCACCAGAGACTGGACATTAATTCTAAACCCTAATATCCAGCAACCAATCAATCCAAGGAGGGTTTAAAAGATGTCACCTGAAAAACACTGCCATCCACCCATGCCGTAATGAATTTCAAAAGCCCCTTCCAGAATGTAACTAGCTTTAGTGAAATATGATCCTCTTTTCTGAGTACTCTTGAACCAATTCCAAAGAACAGAAAGATCTGACCCCATAAATTTTGGTGCTTTGAGATGTTAAATTTAGGGGAATAGTTTGGCATCATCATGAAAGAAGATCTAGATCTGGAAAATTGATTTGATAGTTTTGGGCTGACGATTGGTGAAGAAAAGATGCAGGAAGTGTTTTTGGGTTTCATTTATACATTGGGTGCACTATTTTACAGTTCAGTCTGTTCTAGACTGAAAAACAGGTATCCTTTGATGGAGAGGGCCTTAATATCAGGGGCCCTCCCATTGAAATATTAGTATTGTACCATGTAAAATAATCTGAATTGTAAAACATTTTTTTCATTATATATTATACTTTGAAATGAAGACTAAATGTGAAACAAACATATTGCAGGAGATCTTGTCCAAGCTTGGAGTTCTTGAAAAAGTTTTAGAGGTGTGATCTTAATTTCACATTCCACATTCAATTTTTTCTTTTCCCATGCACTATATATATCCAAACTAACTGTCTGTAACAGGGGATGAAATGATTAAGAGCAATGAAAAAAATTACATTTTCATTTTCTATCCTTTATTTCTCTACCTTCATTTTCAAAAATGAAGGGCATAAGGAAAAGGAAAGGAACCTTGTCGGAAGAATTAGGAAAGGTTTGGCAAACTTCAAAGGTTTGATTTTTTTGCTTCCTCGTATATCCGTCTTTTCTTTCTTGTTTCCCGTACATCATACCACAAATCTCATTGCGGCAAGTATTAATTGGAATGAAAGACTTTTAGCCACAAATGACCATATATGTTCACAAGTTAAGTTAATTTGAAGCTATTTATTGCATTTTGTTGTTATTACTTGCGGGATAAAATTCCTGCCCAAAAAGAAATATTGCAGGACAAAATGGAAGAAGACTTATCAGACGGGGTATAGATATTTTTGCTTCATTTTATTTTTAATTTATGATTGTTGATATCATACAGAGTATAATTATGGAATTATTGTTTACTTTTCCTTAATTCATGTTGGATGTTTTCATGTCACCCATTGATCTCTTTCTTGAGTCATGTTTCCTTCAGTGTGGACCTTGGTATTATGGTCCATCAGCAGCCATGAATGAACCAATTGAACAAGAGACAGTAAGTTCTACAATTTTATGAACTATATTAATGTACGTTTTTCATGTTATATATATATATATATATATATATATATACATATATCCATCAATCTGTATCTCTGGAATCATGTTTAATTCTCTATTTTGAATCAAAGCCAGCATGCTCTTTTATTTTCAATTTCTCCGTGCTTTGTTTTTTTCTCTAATCTGCATTATTTTGCTTCTAAATGAAGGCTGAATTCAGTAGCTTTCAGCAAACTGAAATAAAGCAGGAGACCATGTGTGAGAAGTTTGAAGTTACTAAAGAAGGTTTAGAGGTGTGACCTTTCTCTTAATCCCCCAAATTTCCCACTTTTTCTTTTTGTTTGCAATATACCGTATAACAAGTACCCCTTTGTACTCTGTTTATTTATAAAATCCCATTTTACTGTTAAAAAGGTCATTAAGGGAAGTGCTTGTTTATGCATATCAGTCCTACCTATGAGTGTCTTGAAAAATGATTAAAACAGCATATATTTGAGGAAGTCTAGAGAGGGTTATTTTAGTCTTTGTAAGCATTTATTAAAACAGTTTAAATAATTTTGAGTCTTTGTTACTTCCAATTAAGACACTAATGAGTGCTGATATTTATTATATTAATAGACTTTTGGCCACACATGATTATAAATTTTTAGAAGTTTAAGGATATTTCATGTTTTATTGCCCTTACTTAGAGGGTGAAATGGTAGAAGATATGTTGGACAAGGTAGCTAGAGATATTTTTGCTTCAGTATCTTTACGTTATTATTGTTGATATTCTAATTATGTTATCCATCATTCCACTAATCTCGCATTCTCACTTTCATAATTTTGCAAATGAAGGACAAGGAGAAAAGAACCCTCTACTCTGAAGAATGTTTAGAGAAGCATACCAAATTTTTATTTGAGGTGTGATCTTTGTCTTACTCCCTCCATATATTCATCATTCTGTTTTAGTTTCCATTACATCATATGACGTTATTGAGGCAGGCAAGTAGGTATCTACGTGTGTGTGTGTGTGTAAATATGTTTATGATAAAAAGTCTTTGATCCTGTGCATATGATTATGTTCAATTCTGAGAATATTTAATTTCATGTTTTGTTGCTTTTACTTGCAGGATGAAATGATAGAAGAGCCGTTGGGGGTGGTAGAGATTCTGTTTACACTTCATTATCTTTTAAGTTACTGTTGTTGATGTTCTAATTTTGGAATTACTTAATTTTCTCTCTAATTGCAGGGGAATGAAGAGGTTACCAAAACTATGGGGGAGGTATATGGAAATTTTGCTCATAATCTTTTAATCTTATGGAATTAATATGTTAACTCTTAGAGAAATATGCTGAAAATAATTCTTAGAAACTCCAACATGTTTATTTATTTATTATTTTCATGTTATCCATTGATATCTGTTTCTCAAATCATGTGTCCTTCAGTTTGGATCTTTGATTCGTTGTCAATCAACTACCCTAGGAAGCGAGGAAGTTGCCATGAATGAACTTGTTGGTCTAGATGGTGTAAGTTCTACAATTGCATAGACTCTGCTAATGAAAAAACTTGATGACATGGTCAAGATTAATTTCAGACTTTAAAGGCTAAGAGAAATGGAAACAGATTTTTTTTTTTTTTTTTT